ATGGTGAATTCGCTAGTTGAAGTTTGGCATTAAAACCGTTTCTGCTCGCTTTGTCGGTGGTTGTTTTACTTCACATTCACTGTACTCAGTCACACTCAGTAGCGCTCTCACCATTGTATATAGCAGACTAACCTATAATGCTCTCACTATCATATTGTGGTATTATTTATGGCCCCGCTATAGTACAAATGGACGTGAAACGTCTACAAAAAATTCAAAATAATTGTATCCGTCTTTCATACGGAATTCGTAAGTTTGAACACATATCTGCTAAATTTGTGGAATCCGGTTGGTTGAGACTTGATGAAATTTGGCAGCAACACCTCCTCGTGAATACCCACAAATTTGTTACAATGAAAACGCCAGATTATATCCACAAGAGATATACCACCTTTAAATCTCAAGGTAAATCGAGTACACGTAACCGTGACTCATTATTCCAAAGCATTCATCAGTTTGTTTCACACGTAGCTTCATGTATAACTCGATCAAGCAGTATAACTCTCTTCCTAATCACTTCAAAAACGACTCAATGCTGAATTTCAAGAAAAGGTAGAAAGGATACCTAAAAGCAGGATAGATTGGATGATAACAACGCCTTGTCTGATTTTTGTTTTGTTTTTTTTGTTTGTTTGTGAGCTTCCTATTTGTATTCGTATTGAATATGTGAATATTTTATCGTCGTATATGTACTTGTATGTGTATATTTAATTATATTTACTCATATATTAATATGTTTATATTACCTTACATGGTTAAGTTGTAAAACAGCGCAAGCTGAACTTCGCCTTTTCATCGAGCATCATTATAATTTGTAGATCTCTTGTTCTTATAAATTATTAATTATCGATGAATAAAGCCCATTTATTATTATTATTATCATTATTATTATTATTTATCACTTATAATTACACGAGAGCATTTTTTGACGAGGTGAACTTGTCATGTATCAATAAGAATATTGTTGACTGGCAATTTGAAGAAAAAAACTGCCTTTGAAAAAATTACTCGTCCTACGGACTCGTAATTTTTTCCTGGCAGTTTTTTTAGTTGAATCACCTAATGGCAACAAAATTCGAATTATAATTGCCAAGTTTACTTCGAATAAAGGAAAAGCTATAGTGTAATCCGGTGAGACAATAAACATTTGTTTATGACTGGTTGTCATGCTTTCAAAAGTTAGGTGCCGTTAATGTCGCTGGAAAAGTTAGATTAAAATTTTTTTGTTGCCATAATGACAAAAAATCACGCGACTTGTGGGATTTTTCATACATGAATTGAATTGTCCAGTACACAGCTTCGCGGATGAAAGTATACCCTCCATACCACCTTCTCTTCCAGGGCTCCAATACCAGTCAGGCAAATCAGAAACGAACGAGGGAGAAATGTTGACAACATAAATATGGACTTGGCAACAATTCTCGAATGGGGATCCAAAAACTTGGTCGATTTCAATGCGAACAAAACACAAGCATGCCTTTTCTCTAGAAGAGCCGATCGCACTGTGCCCAACATAAGCTTGTCAGGAGTAACCATACCTTTGAAGACATCCATTTCGATGCTTGGTATTACTAGCAGCAATAAAATTTCTTGGGAAAATCACGTGAGATCAATTGCTGAAAGTGCATCCCAAAAACTTGGTTTCCTGTTTCGGGCCAGGAGCTACCCCACTTCCAGTCAGCTGCTAATGATCTATAAGTCACAGATTCGACTCGTCCTGGAATACTGTTTCCATATTTGGAGTGCAGCACCCAAACACACCCTGAAACTCGTCTCGCAATTCGTCTCGTGGGTGAGGCCTCGCTCTTCTGAAATATCAACAATTGTTCCTCCCTTGGCAGTCCCCGCGAGATTAACCCGTCGAGTTGAGGCTTGGCACCCCTTTGAGGTCACTTTGGAGACCTGCAGAACATGTCTTTCCAAAGACCAAGTGAGGTGTTCCCCGATGCATATAACCTCCAGAAATTTAAGGAGAACACCAATTCCTACCTTATTTTCCTTGGTTCTCACGATGTTCTCTGAACATCACAGGATATCTCTTCCCATGGGAACCATAACATAAAAATAAAGGCTTGGGCAACCCACGGCCCGAAAAATCACCCCTCAAAGTTTGGCCACATTCTTGAATAACACCATGTATAGACATAGATGTTATTCGTTTCAGATTGTTTCTATGTTTCATTTATTGTTATATCAACGTTCGATGACCATGCACATCTGTATACGTTTCTTTTTGAAAAAAAAAAGATATATTATTGAAGATTGTTCTTCTCCTGGCACATAGTCTCTGCTGAATTTTCTTATTAAAGTGGAACCATATCCTTCGCCAAAAATTGAAATAAAAAAATAAGTAACCATTTCAGCAAACACATCGTACATATATGCATCTGATTAACTATGGACATCTACAATTTTAACAGTCTGAAAATTGAATTGAATAATATCTTCGGAAGAATGAAGCCTACTTGGAAAAATCTTATACAGGGCAACCAAAATTTTGACACAAGATAAACACATCTAGAAAACTTTCAATGGTCAATCTAGAATTTGTGAGATATTTAAAAAACGAAGTGAACTTCAGTTACTATTCTATTAGGAATAAGAAACTCGACGTCTTTGTACTTTCCGCAGTGGCGTACCTACGGGTAGGATATGGGGGATATATCCCACCTCCAAATGCTGATAGAGACAGCACTTTTCCTCACGTATTACGTTTTCATCTCTATTATAAGGGTCCGTATCGTTCATTGTGTGAGCAGTGTGCATGCTATAATCAACGATGAATGTAGAGTGTCTTCAACATCAGCAGATGGAACTGATGGAAGTGATTTTTTGTTACAGATGAATGAAAATTCCGTATATATTTCATCCATTGAATATTTCAGATCTCAGGAACTTATCTATTCTTCAGAAGATATCGGAATTATTTCACACGGTGCAGTATCAGTCACATATACAGGGTGTCTCAAAACTGCTGGAACGCATAGTTATACCAGGTGTTATATAAGTCTGAATAAGTTAATTGGACCCAATTTATATTTATCCTAAAATGTACCGTTTGCCCATGAGAAGAGTTCAAAGTTCACATAAAAACACATTTTTTCACTTTCTAATAGATATTTTGCAGCTATTTTGGGACACCCTTTGTATCTACTGATATTATCACTACCTGCAGAACATTATTTGAATGGATATTTGGAAATCAAAAATGTGTTTTGAGAAAAAATTCAATCCCCCCCCCCCCCCCCCCCCCAAGGTACACTTCTGATAGAGTTCAAAATCTTGGTTGGGCGAACAAAATACCTCTCAAATTGTCAGATTTCCTCGAGTTTCAAATAGTATTGTGACTCATTAGTAAGATGAAGGTGGTGCCATCTCAGCAATCGAGTATAATGTTTGATTATTTCGATTTTCTAATCTTCCCAAAGTAGTGTGATATGCTAGAATACATTTTATCGATTAATAATATTTTCTTCTTGACCATCGACTTGAACCAATTTTTTTATTGAAAGAAATGCACACAGTGGCGTCAGATGAAGGAGATTGAATACCACGTGACCGTATTCAATGCATCATCTCTCTTCAACCCATGGTAAAGAGATACGACTGTGGTCTTGGTTGCATAATAATCGGTCGAGTGGTTTTCGATCATTGTTGAAGATCCGGTATAATATAAATTGTTCTCAAAAAATCCACAAGAATTCATGACTAAAATTGAACTAAAAAAAAAATGCGTTCGAATTATTTTTCAAAACTTTGAATTAGTGACGCCAGCAATGTATAATATCTTTGCTGGTTGATCATCAAAAAATTGCTAAACGGACTAGAACTTTGAGTGGAAAAATGGGTCTCATTCCAAATTATATTCTGATCCCCATCATATCTTTCTATTGATGCCATTTGATAGTTAACGTCGAGCTTACTCAGGGTTTGAAATATTTGCACATATGCCACCCTGTATATGCCTCTAATATTTTCTCGAAAAAAGGATCTCACTATTCACTCAATCCTAGGAGAATGGAGTTACAAATAAAAAAATGATCGTTGAAAAATATGTGAATTACAGAATTATTGATAGGAAATCAACATTCCAAATTTGAAACTCCAATGAGAACTGTTGACGATTCTTATTATCATTACACTCTGAAACTGGTCATTCTTATGATTTCAAGCCTACAGTCATTATAAAATTCGAAGTAAAATAGGTAGTTTTTTTTCAATATTGTGATCATTATAGTCACTATTATTTTTCCGTGCGATTGAATAATTTTGTTTCAATGCAAGACGAAAATTCCAACTGTGAAACACTTTCACATATTATTGAGCCGCAAGTGTCAATTTTGCCTGATGAAAAGGTGAGCAGCATCTGAATATAATCATGATATACAAATATTCTCTAAATTAGTCTTAATGATTTTTTCCAAGGACAATAATTTTAGTTGGAAACGCCTTGTTTGATCCTCAGAACTAAATCATATATGTAAAATCAATTCCTCGATGAAAAGATGGCTCAATTATTATACTAACTGATTTTTTACTATTTCAATCAATCATAGTTGGTTGTGTGTTGTGTTATAAGTATTTCAATGAGAAAATAGAGAACTCATCAGGAATGTTGATCGTATTGGGTACCTACCATCCGTTGAGCGGAAAAATATGTTTTGAATCGATCAACAAATAGTAAAATACAACGGAAACATACCTCATTCAAACAAGAGAAAACCTCGAAAAATATAAATTGAAAATTGTACTCATCCCCCGCGCTCCTGCGGCTCTGGCATCGGTCCAACCCCTCTCTCGACGTCTCACTCTCACTCTCTCTCTCTCTCACTCTCGCTCTGTCCTTCTCGCGTCTCGTGACACCCCACGTTGTGCGCGAGAGATCACCTCCGCCCCATCTAGCTGTCCTCTCGTCTCATCTCTCCTCTCCGTCCCATCTGCCACCGCTGATTATTCTTCAAAGCTCTTTGCCTGCCGCCGCCGCCGATCTTGTTTGTTATGCCGATAGTCCGGTGACTTCCGGGTCGCGAGAGACAGATACTCCGGGCGCCAAGGTCGATTAGAAGCGAGCGTCGATCCTTATCCTTGCGCCGAAGATCGGTCAGCGTGACTGGTTGGTTGTTGTTTTTGTCTTCTTCGGGTATAATAATGTGACTCTGGTGTGATGCGTGAAATATGGTGGTTTATTTTTACGCACTGGTACTGGTTTTCTTTGTGATTATTCTCGGATCTGGGTAAGTAATTGTTTTTCGGTTTGCTGTCAAAAAAGCCAATATTGCATATATCACCCATCTCACTCAGCGTGCTGAAATCCAACTTCCAGAAACGCGCGTTTTTCTAAGTAACCACGTCTAAACCTAACCTACACTCATTATTCTTTAATGTTACACTTTGATTGACTCGGTTTCTCCTCAAAATATTGCTAGAAAACTCACCAGTCGAATGGAAAGACTAGTGAATATTGTCTGTAGGTTAATCGAGGAGGTGTTACATTCATTTTACTTGATTATTTTAGGACAAATCAGATGATTTGCCCCAAGATGTCACTGCGTTCAACGAATTTTTGATCAGGGAGCCTGAAAGAGAAATCCAATAGCATGTCAGTGACACTTTGTTTGGAAAAAAGTTTGGAGAGAAGGAATATAGATATATTGAGGAAATATCAAATTTTCACTTATCTTTCGACGTTTCGGAAACGAGTCTGCTCTCGTTCTCAACATAAAAATGCAAAATATTTTTCTTCGGAAATGATCTTAAAGTTTCAGACATATGTAATAAGCATTTGCTTTCGGCGAGATCAGCAGCACCGGAAGTATCAATGACTTTTGAAATGCTGCCGGAAGTTGGATAATAGTTGAATGATGTAGAATGGTGAAAAAACATTTTTTTTTAAATTTTAGGAACAGTTTTTTTTTGTTGAATGCATTTCAATGTATTTATCAACATTCTCATGATACTTCTATTATAACTGTTATATTTTAGTGTACTTAAATTTATTCCTGTTGTATGTTCCTCAAGAACATGACCATAGTTTATATCGATGAAAATGTCTTTAATTTGTGGAATTGATGATTGCGATGATTTCAATATATCGAATCTGATAAACTTTCACTCAATTGCCAGAAAATTATCAGTATCATTATCAAATTATGTTTTTCAACTTCAACAATAGTTTGATCATAGATTTCTTCAGTTGAGCCTCGATCTCTCTCGAGAAATATTCCTATATACTCGGTATAGTTGGAATAGGTACTACTAAGGTAAGGTGTACACGATATTTCGAGATGAAACTTCTTAAAGTCAGGAGCTTTGACATCTGATAAGACACACATGAGTTTTTTCCTAAGGATACAAGAATCGATTCAACTGTTAGATCACTGGTCGCCAACCATTCAATGTGTTGGGCTACTCTTTGATGATATAAGTGCTTCCACCAAAATTTGAATGCATGAAATAAAAACTTTACGATATGTTTTCCGAGATGTTCTCTTCTTGATGATTATACAACGATTTCAGACAAAGCATTCTCACAGAGTTGCCTCAATGCATACTGTCAGTCAAGTTTCCCTATTTGTGGTTATTCCATTGAAACAATGCAAATTTCTGGCTCACCAGGTAGAGTTACAACTTTGATAAAATACCTACCTAATTTGGTTGAAGTCGTAATTGTCGAATGGAAAACTGGTCTGAGGAATTTGATGAACCTTTTTCAAAATATTGGTGCTATTTCATGAATATTGATTATCACGGAAATCCGTTATGTTTCATGGATGTCAAACAAAACTTCCTCATTGGTTAAAAAAAATTTCATGACTCCTGATGGCCTGATGGTATGACTTGAATTTCTTGAAAAACTACAGTTATATAGTACATATTGTATTCATATTCCTCCACACCATACAAAGAGATTTGAATATTTCTTCGCCTACGAAGCTTCTCATGTTTATGATAATTTAGATGACCATCTGAAGAGAATGTCAGTAAGTTCATTTGAAGCAAATTCGAAAAAAATCCTTACAGCCAAACAATTTCTGTTCTTCCTTCTCAATACAACATGCAGCTTCACTGTTAGGTTGAAGGTTTCGTATAGTTTTATACTGAACTTTCGCCTAATGAAGACCTATTTTTATTATTATTATCATTATATTGTAGTCCACATGTCATGTGAAGAAAGGGGTATTCGAATCGGGATAACACATAATTTCTCACATATTTGAGTAGGTGAATGGATAAAAATATAATTTAATGAAGAAGCAGAAAAAGAAGAAGACATTCTTTCGAGACTTCTCACCTTCAGATGCATTTCTATATATGTAAGATAGTATTCAAATCCTATAAGGAGTAACATCGACATCAAATTATTTTTATCGCCATAAAAATATTCTACATATTTTCATTGTTTGCATGAATTATCAGTTCTCTGAGTGTACACTTTGATTGAATATAATACAAAGCAATCTTGAATTAGATAAATTTTTAGGGAGTGGTAAACCGACAAAGAGTAGGGTGTCAACTACAACTAAGTAGATAACGTATAGAAATAATGTGACCAACCCCTTTATAATGACTGTTTCTATGAATAAAATGTAGATAGGCTGAAGGTTTCTACGCTGAATCATACTTTTATCATCAATGATGACTTTATGCTATAACAATAAATGCTTCCATGAATATTGAGCTTCCTAAGATGTGATACATGGTGATTCCTAACTCACTTACATGCTCGTAGTAGCAACCTTAAAGTTATTATAATTCGGATCATCAAGTCTAGCCAATATCAAAACTCCATGAACTTCTGCACATATGTTTTCAATTTCAATTACAATTGGGAAAAGCTACATCATATCCATTTCAGAATGATATTCAATCAAGTAATAGATATTATTCCAAAGGATTTAGGACTATAGAGTTCTACCCAAAGTGCTGTTTTTTTGTTTTCCGTATTATGAAACACTGATTGACATTGTTTATGAGTGCCAATTTATAATTCATCGAAAAAACATATTTGATGAAATAAGAGCCATCTGTCTCCACAGAACTGCAAATGTAATCGTACTCGATTCTTTTTGATGATCTGGTTTCCACGAAAACGGATATTCTGTAATATTCAGAGAACATCGTGAGAATCAAGGAAAATGAGGAAGGAATTGGTGTTCTTCTTGAATTTCTGGAGGTTATATGCCTCGGGGAACGCCTCCCTTGGCAATGTATTCCAGAGCTTCGCTGTTCGTTGGATGAACGAGTCTTCGGAAAGAGATATTCTGCAGGTTTTCAAAGTGACCACGAAGGAGTGCAAAGCCTCATTTCGACGGATTAATCTCGCGGCGACTGCCAAGGGAGGAACAATTGTTGATATTTCAGAAGAGCATCGTCCATGAAAATATCTATTAAATGGAGCCAGATTCCCAACTTTCCTACGGTGTTCCAGAGAAGTGAGTGAGTTTGTGAGAGAGGCATCCCCCACGAAACGAATTGCCTTTTTTGGACAGAATCCAACAGTTTCAGGATATGTTTGGATGCAGCACTCCAAATATGGAAACAGGATTCCAGGACAGTTCAGATCTGTGCCTTATAGATCATGAGCAGCTGACTGGGAGTGAAATAGCTCCTGGCTCGAAATAGAAAACCAAGTTTTTGGGATGCACATTTTGGCAATTGATCTCACTTGATTTTCCTTTGAAAGGTTATTACTGATAGTAATACCAAGTATCAAAGTGGATATCTTCAAAGATTTGAAATGGATCGGAAAAAATCCATACACGGAAAAAAAGGATTTGTTGCATCAACAAATTATTTATGCTCGAATTATTTTTGTTGGACTAAGCAATTTTTTGTTGAATCAACCAGATACATGATCATTTCATGGAAGCAGCTTGTTCAAATCAAGAATGTAGTCTAATTGAATCAACAGTATAATATCAATTCCATCAACAAAATATATGGTTTTATCAAAAACAATTTATGTTGATCCAAGATAATGTCGATTTTGATTCAACTATAAACATTTTGTTGATTTGATCAAATAATGATCATTTTGATGAGAATATATCTTTGAAACAACATACAAGTTCTCTTATTCCGATGTAGCAATGAACTTGTTACAAACGGATCATTTGCTTGAATAGAGCAACGAAATATGTAATATCAATGAAATATTTTGTTCATTCTACATCAACTTAAATCTCCGCCTCTAGATGGCGATCATTTCTCCCCGTCTATGCCTGCCTCGAATTCATTATATACGTGAAGCCTGATTCTTCGTGTTCGAAATATCAGCTGGATGAATCGAACTTAGGATGATTAGCAATCCGAAATAGTTTTCCATCAGCTGAGGAGAAGTAAAGACTGAAGATCTATGCTAGAAGTCTACTTGTTTCCTATAGTTTTGTTTATTCTAATGATGTGAAATTTCAGAAAATTCCCGAATATTGAATTTGGTTCACCAAAACAATTTGTCGAATGGATATATAGTTCCTCTTGAATCAAGAAAATAGTTCATTGAATTAACCGAATATTTCATTCAATCAAACAAATAATTCATTGAATCAACCAAGTATTTCTTTGAATCAACCAAATATCTCGTTGAATCAACCAAATATTTCGTTGAATCAACTGAATATTTGATTGAGGCAATATGTTGTTATTTTGAATCAACTGAATATTTGATTGAGGCAATATGTTGTTTTTTTTTAATCAAACAAAATGATTGTTGGATCCAATTCAATATCTCTTCATAAACAATTCATGAATGTGCTTGATTGAAGAGGATCCCGAGTTAATGCAAGATATATTTACTTGATTCAAACTTCAAATTCGCTCTGAAACAAGATATAGATTTACTCATCTCAATATTATATTTTGTCGTGCATATATGACACTTTTATTCGCTTCATTCAATTAAATGTTGCTTGATTCAACAATTAATTTTTTCCGTGTATGAATAGTGCCCATATTTCACGAAATAATGCTTCAATTCATTTTTATCATTATTATTTACTCTATTCTTTCGAACTCTCTGGCCTGTATTGGTTTTGTCTGTACCATGATATTTTTTTTTCATACACAAACACGTTAATAACACTATACATTCGATTTGAAGTCATTCGACCTTGAACCAAATAGAACAAAATTGCTGGCTGTGCATTTTTCTTTATTACTCTATTGAATGCCACCCAAAATTCAAATCTATAAATGAGATTGCCATTCAAATACTCATCAGGATTTCAATGAGTCCAATGATTATTCAACTCGCACTGATACCTCCACCACCAGAAGTCATGTCCAACTACAAACCTCCTTCGTATTCGTTTGATGTACATTTATCAAACCCGGTATGAATGAAGTATTTTCTGTTTCAAGAAAACGAACAAAGACATTTCATGTTGTTGTGTTGCGAGTTGGATAGGGTGAGCTGACTGATACTCAGGGTCCTGTTAGCTTCTTTTATTCACTATAGAGCAGTTGATGTTGATGGCGATTGAAACAGATTGTGTATAGATGTTGAAAATTATAGATGTTGAGTGTTACAGATCTCGTGGCAAAATCCCTGCATTTTGCTGGCTTTCTTAGTTTTATACGCGACGCTTCGTCACAGAAACGACGCTTTCATGACATCAATTTCGACCAATGGAAATGAAGAATACAATTTTACCAATCAATAATTCACCTGACAATACGATGTTCTAAATAGTATTTTGTGTTGATCAGCAATATCGATATCGTTCAATTGGAACAGAGAATTCAGCAGAAATGTAATGTTATACCTAACATTATATGACATCATGATATCTTTCACAAGTGTTTTTGATGAATATATTAATGATGTTCCTAAAATAAGCAACTGGAAAAATTATAAAATATAATATTTGAATACATATGCATGCTAACCTCGTAGAGGGTGTGAAGTGTAACTTCACAACAATGTATCAGGCCGTTTCATGATTTTTCACCTATCCATTTTATCAATATCGTTCCCTTTTGAATAGGGCCAAATATAGACTATCAATATTTCAAGATCCACACCGTAAGAACTCTCGTGGGTACATTATCGCCTGAACAAAATGAAACTTTCATGGTCATATCACTGCTATCTGAAGCCTTACCATCCGATGACATTCCAGTCTAAAGGACGAAGAATGCCAGCAAGTTAAATATGTGGACGCACGTGGGAAAAAGACCGACTCGAACTAAATTCATATCGTGCTTCGAATTTATTCGAATATCTTAGTTTATCGTTTCATTAATTGGAAACAAGAAGAAAAGAGGATGAAAAATGGAGGAGGCATGAGATATTTTCGAGAAGCTCGAAAAGTGGTTGTGATTAAATAAATATACCACGAAATGGTGGATTGATGTGCATGTGAACCTAGAATGCAGTGCGATAAATTGGCGAAGGAGATTAACGCTTCACCATCTCTTATTAATTTTAATCTTGGGTTCTTCACAGCCAGTTATTCGATTTTGATTTTTTTTATTATTGAAAATACTAGGACTGCACAAATTGATAACTCTCTGATCGTACTAACAGTAATATGTATAACAAGTGAGGTACGTAGTTTTTGAAAGGAATCAGATTAGAATAGATGAAGTTTTCATTAGGTATTAGATTAGCATAAAGGTCAGATAATTTATACGACGCTTTGAAAGCAGATGATATTTTATCATTGCTCATGTAAGATGGATGTAGAGGCCATGGCACCATATCATGAGCATATTTTTATATTGAAACTATATCATTGGGCACCATACGACGCTATGAAAGTTCAGAGAACTGGATATTTTTCTCACAAACTACGTACTCAGCCCACTCGACTGTCTTGGTTTATCCACACAAACTACGTACCTAGCCCACTCGACTGTTAATAGGGGCTAAAAAAACAAAAACAAAAAAAAGTTCAAACAATGCCAACATATTTCTTCTTTGTGGGAAATCAAGACAGTCGAGTGTGCTTTTTTCACTTTCTTTTGTTTTTGTTTTGTTTTCTATTGGCAAGTGATTATCTAGGAACTTGTAAATTTTTCAGTTTTTTCATCGTATCTCCCGAACTATCGAATTCAGAGAAAAATGTTACATGGCTTTTTTGTAGAATCTATCAAAAGGAATAATTATGGTTCTTTAACATTTTCAGATATTTTCAGTTGTTTTCGAGATATTTGGAATTATCTGAGAATAAAATTTTCAACATTTTTGTTCAATCTTCCAATCAAAAAACCGAAAAGATATCTTTCATGATTCAGTGGAAGTCGATGAGCTTCATCTATCGATAATCTTTGTTTTCCAATATATCTTCATGGTACCCTATGGGTCGTTCAAATTCATTTTTCTTCATATTATTTACTTTATTTCCTGTACTATTGGGTTTACAGAGAAAATTATGGGTAATAATTTGTAGAAAATGTTCCAGTGGATAACTTTGCACTTTTGATAATTTTCGATGTTTCCATTTGTTCTCGATATATATTGAATTGAAAGGAATTCAAATTTTGATGTTTTGATTTTCATTTGTTTTTCCATTTTCCGATGGATGCACGAAAAAATGGTGGAATAATAATTTGTTGCGTCATCAAAGAGGCATACGGTGCATTTTTCAAATTTGGATTTAGTCTAGGCATATTAACCAGTTGCGATCAATAGGAACAAAAACTACATGCTTATCTAATGATTCTGATTCTGAGTTTGATTACCATATACCATATCCTGTAGATGATCCTGAAGAAACATCAGAGCCTATGGAGAATTCAAAAATTGATTCCAATGTCACCACCACACGGAGATCGCAGAGGAATATCAGATTGCCAGTTAAATTAAGAAATGATTTTCAACTTTGAGTTGTTATTGTGGATTTCTTTTTAAGGAGGGAAGGTGTTACATGTTTTTCACATCCTGTATAAAATAGGGATTTCTAGATGTACATTATGACATGAGAACTGGAAGATAAAAGGAGCATCGGTTGTTATGGATATTACGATAGTTACAGTTATGTAATAAAATTATTGAAATCCGAATTGGATTTTTATTCTCATGGAAGAATTCATACTACATATACAATAATACCGAAAAAAAAAGTATTTTTAGCTCATTTCCTAGAAGTGTCTGAAACCTAGAGACCAAACACCTTATGGGCCTGCTGGCTTCCGCAATGAACCTATACATAATGCGTCGAACTGTAAGTTCACAATAGTTATCACTGATAATCAGTAGATAGAGAATATATGTCTCTTGTTAGTTGTTCCTATATGAATTAATAATCAATTGAACAAATCAATCAATTTCCTACGCTTGTAGAAAAAATATTGTTCCTAACTCATTCGGAAAGTATCTTCCACGCACTCGACTGCTTGCCCGAACTCTGCTTCGCGTCGTTCGTGTCAACGGCAGTCGCATGCGGTAAAGAATCGCTTTCCGCACTTCCCGGAAAATTACTATTTCATCACTACATTCTCCTTTCCAGTGAATTGGACGCCAAAAATTCCAAGCTCGCTCGCCACAAGGCCCTTTCCTACGACGCCTACGTCGCCACTAAAACCTGTAGGACGGTGCCGGGCCTCAGCAAAGCTCAGCTGGAGCTCTGCTACAGACTGCCCAATGCGACTGTCTTCGCGCTGCAGGGGCTGAACCAGGCGGTCAAGGAGTGCCAGCACCAGTTCCAGGGCCATCGCTGGAACTGCTCGTCGCTGCAAACCAGAGGGCGCAATCCGTACATCAACTCCATGTTGCAAAGAGGTGAGGAATGTGCGGGATGATTAACTGTCTACAGATTGGTGATTCAATACGTTCATCTACAACTACTACTGAGTCATTCATGCATTGCTAACTCAATTTTCAACATTTAATAACAGACATTATTGTGGCTGAGATTGTGGCTATATCCCGAAATCAGCTAACATACTATATCTGCTGACTTTTCATTCCAAAATCGAAATAAAAATCACTGACAGATAATTATTAGCAGACATACTATCCATTCCGAATATTTCGACTCAACATCCTGCTGAAATGAGGGCTAACATGCATTGGCTATATTCTGAATTCGACTGGTCAGTACTGTCAGTAAATCCACTGACCCTGGCTATATTCCGAATTCAACTGGTCAGTACTGTCAGTAAATCCACTGACTCTGCTGAAAATCTGATGTGTTCCGAAATCTTAAATCATAAATGAAGTGCTGTAATTCGGAACACGTTTTCATGGTTTTCATCAGTGGTCAGCAGCAGTGGATCCGCTGGTGAAATTTGTCAGTCTGTAGTTTCTCGTTTATCTGAACTAGATATTTAGCCTCCTGGTTGATATAAATTTTGGAAATTTAATAATAATTAACATGGAAGAGCAATCGATTCTTGTAACCTCCATAGTTTCTACAGTTCTTGACGATGACGAATCAAGCTCGAGTGATGAAGCATACCTGGATATTTTATTGCCATCCATTTTTCATGATGCACCAGATTGAGAGTTGAAATATTCATGGAAAACGTGATATGGTATTAGTTATGATGAATTTAGGAGACATTGCAGGTTTATTTAGTTATTCATTCAGCCAATGCTGCTTCTTCTTTCGTTATCTCTACTACTTCATACTCCATGTCATTCTCAGCGTTCATTATTCCATTATAGGTATTTTCTGATATTGAAAATAATATCATTAACAACGGAAATGAATCATACATTCCTTTTCCCTCTGAAATAATGACAGTTCACTGAAACCACACTACCATCTGATGCTCAGCAATTTCAGCAGAATGTTGAGTCGAAATATTTGGAATGGGTAGTATGTCTGCTCACAAGCATCTGTCACTTTCAGTTAATTTTTTGATTTCGGAATGAAAAATCAGCATATTCAGTACTGTCAGTTGAATTCGGAATATGGCCTCTGTACAAAATCTGTGTTCAAAACTATAAAATCAGAAAGCAAAACTACTACTATAATATTGTGTTTACCCAGTGAGGGGCGAGATTTGTTCTCAAAATTCCCAGCTAAATGATGTTTTTTTAATTGCAATTAGGCACAGAACATTTCTTAATCATACTTTTGTCGAAATATTTCAATTTAATATTCAAAAGTTGCAGAAACTTAATATAGGTTAGAATTGATCTTCTTCTTGTTCTTATCATCTATGTCCCAAAAATCAACTTGCCGATTCACCAATCTTGGTGCTTTGTGAGAAATCATGTATCATTCATCTCTGTCTGGAATAGTCTTGTTTCAGTATTAGGGTTTTGACGTCACATCATCGCCTCGTTTTCAGAGGTCCGAAAAATCGGGGATTTCAATAATTTTTTATAAAACGTAGGGAGCTCACAGAAAGAAAAGGTTCGCGGTGGTGAGCTAGTTTGGGTGAGTTCTATCGAATTATGAAATAAATTTTTTTTGTGATATAAGCCCATTGTATGCGCAGTAGACCAGTCGGCGGAGTAGGGGCAAGAGCTCATTATTGTCGAGGTTCGGTGAGCATCGGTGAGAACGGTACAGTACGATTGTACTTCCCAATAAAAAGATGTAGTGAATCTTTGTCGCATACTTACCATCTCTGTTTATCGTTTTTACATCTCAGGAGCCAAGCTAGAATGGTCAAGCTGTACTGCACTGTATATTTTTTATATCGAATTCTAAGAATTATTATACACGGTGTCTGCAAAAGTATGATTATTCAACAACTGTAACGTAGATAGAAATCACCCCGTAAGAGATATTGTTTTGAAAATTGATATAGGAGTATTTGTGACTAGTCCGAATCGATTGCAAACAAATAATTCTTGGAGTTTTTATGATCGAAGTAGGCTAGGAAATTGTGATTGATAATTTCTTTCTGCTCAACAAAGTATAGATATATATCAGGAGAAAAAAATATTTCCATTTCGCTCTATGAATTAGAAAATACAGGAGTGTGGTGGACCAGATTGTAACACACTGTATGTATCTATACTGAGCCAAGACCTAAGACACGTCTCTCGTTTTCTCCCCCAGTATATACCAGGTGTTCCTTCCCGGAGGTAATAACAACTATAACATCTATATTCATAGCCCGCCGTGTTTTTATTCATTACCCACTGTGCTCCTGTCACTAAGTAGCCATAGCAAATAGGGTGGATGTCACCCCTGGAGGCTGACAATGGGCCGTTGACGTTTTTAAGGGTGATAGTTGTCAGGGAACCAGCTTCACGCTTGATTATCGTGTCTTCGATCTTTTGTATGTGGGATCTCGTGAATTATTAGTTTTATTATGGACTGCTCGGTTGATATATTGAGAGATTATGGACGTAATGGTTGTCGTTTTTGTGTTTTGGAATGTTTCAATCAGTATTTCCAGGTATCCGTAAGAAAAAGCGGGTGTTGAATACTTCATCATGATGTGTGCCTCTTGAACTATACAAGGTGCTCGTTCTTCTTAAACCACAATGGAGAGAGGGCATCCAAGTCAGAATTATTTCCTGTGGCTCCATAGGAATTCAGCGTATCTCGCAGGAGAGTTTTTTCCTCATCTTGGATGATATTTGATCAAATGATGTGGTACATCGTTATAATCAGGAAAAAAGACTATCCAATAATGCAACAATACAATATTGAGAGCCAGGTGTCTCCGTTTTGAACCACTGGTTGTTTCAAAATTACTGTCTGAATTCATCAACTCATCAACAAGTTGAAAAAAATTGTTAGGCCAACATGTACAGATAACTGCCGAAAAAACGTGCATCAGTGCTGTGACTTCTGAATCATTCGATGTTTAATTTTGAAATTTGCAGGTATAGAAAATATACCAAATTACATTTCTTTGACAAATCATATGCATTTAATGACTTCCGATTCAACCAGAAGCAACCCCAACTTTCGATCTTTAAATAGGACACTCTGTATACTTTGATATTTGCGGCTGAGGCTTCAAAAGAATGAGAATTCAGAACTGGTTTGAAAAACTGAAATTTATCTGTTCTGTCGGGGAAATTGGGATACGACAAGATCGAGATGAAATCCGTCTCATTTCTTCGAAAACATTATTCACAAAACTTATTGCTAATTTTTCACCACTTGAAGAATACATTATTACATTAATATACAAGGAGGCCCATTGAAATCATGACAAAGGGGTTTTTCGGGTGATGATATTATATATAGATGTAAAAAAACGATCGGACAGGTCGATTTGAATCAGACAGGGGACACATTTTGTGTATGTTACCCTTCAGATCATAAATTGTAATATTTATCGAATCTTCACGTCAAGTTTTCATGGGCCACCTTGTATGTAGGCAAACTGACCACTAACTTTGAAGTGGGTCGTTGAAATCACCACTTACTTTTCTCTGAAAGAAAGTGTCATTGAATGTGGAAACAAATCCTACTGAAGATTTCATTATGAAAACTGACGATGGATTGTTGAGTATACAGTGTGTCTCAGGTTTAACTCGTCTAACTTTGACAATCGATAGCCAAAATGTTTTGTCGTGTAGAAACTTGTTTTCTTTATACGGGGTGTTGAAGTTCGCATACATTTTTCATCTTCGGTGAGCACTATTCCATCGGCGATATGAACAGTTCTTATCAATACAAGGGACTGAGCTAGCTACACTGCGTGTTTATTTTTTCTTATCCACTGATATGGAACCCTACAGATTTTGTCTTGCTAGCAACGCTTAATTTGTTTCGATATCTTTCTTAGTTTCCTTGATGTCATTTAAAATAATATTATACTATGCATGACACTTTTCTGACCTGAATGTTTATCTTAAATCAAATTATTATTCGAATTGAATATTGAATGGATCACAGACACGAACAATTCATTTCAGAATATCTTAACTAGAAAACACTACAATTTTATTGATCATTTTCAGTAATTAACAATGTCCAAAGCACACCATGAAAACATTGTTGAATGATACCAATCAAGGATGCGTCTGATATGATTTGCTCAATATCCTTGGCACTGGGAAAGATATTGAGACAAATGAAGAAAAAGAAAGGTGAAGAAATTATGATGATTTTTCATTAGCTTCAATCCACTACAACGTCAAAATGAGAAAATCTGATGGGTTAGATGATGTCAGAGGGCTCGAAAAAGAATGACACCCAGTTCAACTGAGCCCCCTCTATTGATAACGACTACTCATATATATTGCCGATAAAAACGTGATTACCTAATTCCAAACCGCTATTTTTGTTTCACCTGAGATAAAAAATTAAAACATAGAATGTATGCCAACACCCCGTATAATGAAAACAAGTTTCTCCACGACAAAACAAGAAAGTACGTCTTTTTTTTTGCTATCGATTGTCAAAGTTAGATGAGTTGAACCTGAGACACCCTGTATATTATTATCATTAATGCGCTGATTGAAAGAACGTGTTGATCGATTTTGTGCTTGTTTATGTGCACAGTAGGTACGTATATTCGCGAACTTATCGATAATGAGAAATGCTCTTTGATTATTTTCCAGTATGATTGATTGATGATAACTGTATGATAGTCTTCATGATAATCATCAATATTTGTCACATCTCGAATTGATGTTATTTTTCAATTTCGAATTTCGTAGTAAAAAGCATTATCTTCTTTAATCCGAGTGTGAATTGAAGGAAATATTGCAATTTTTATGTATACAGGTGGAGAAGATAGTTTTACCCATTATATTTTATAGTCGTGATGTTCTAGTCAAATTCTTAATTTGCTCCTGTCCAAAAATAATGCACCAATTCATAGTAAATTTCTACAATGATGTATATAACAGCA